CTGCTGGAACTGGAGCTATAGATGGCTGAGAGTCACCATTGTGGGTGCTGGGAATTGACCCAGGTCGTCTACAAGTACAACAAATACTCTTCACCATCGAGCCATCTTTCCAGTCCCCTGTGGTGATGGCTTTAATTGTTAACTTGACACGAACTAGAGTCACTTGGTAAGGGAGTCTCAATGAGGGATTGTCCAGATCAGGTTGGTCTGTGAGCATGTCTCTCTGTGTGGGAAGCAGTTTGTTCTCATTGCTTTAATTGTTTTGGGAAGACTTGGCTTGAAAGTGGGTGGCACCATTCTCTGGGTTTCTGGACTGTACAAGTATAGATATAGAGAAGGCAATCTGATCACTAAGCACACTTGCCTTCTGTTTTAGTGAGGATCTCCTTTCACAAGAAGAGACACCATGACCAAGGCAACTCTTATAAGGGACGTTATTTAGGTTGGATTACAGTTTCAGGGGTTCAGCCCACTGTCATCATGGCAGGAAGGATAGCATCATACAGGCAGACATGATACTGGAAAAGGGACTGAGAATTCTGGTATCTTGATCAGAAGGCAGCTGGAAGCTGACTGTTCTATGCTGGGTAGAGCTTCAAAGCCCACCCTCATGGGGACATACTTCCTCCAACAAGGCCACACCTCATAACAGTACTACTCCCTATGGGCCAAGCATATTCAAACTACCACACCTTCCTTTCTGTCTGCTCTTGAGTGTGAATGTAATGTGACCAAATGTTTTAAGTTCCTGCCACCTTTACTTCTCTGCTATGATGGACTATATCCTGGAATTGTAAGCTGGAATAAATCCTTTCTTCCTTAAGTTTTTTTTTTCAGCATCAGAAGTTAAACTAGAACACCTACATAAATTCACTTAATATTCACTTAATATTCACTTACTGGTGAATATTATAATGACTAATATAAATATTCATTTAACTGGTAAACAGGAGAGCCAGAGACTTGGTATTGATTATGGTTTGGCTGAGTGTACTCACGGATGTCCATACATAAAGACCTTTAGGGTAGTGTTATTAGAATGTGTTGTGGACCCAAAAGAGCTTTTGCCTGGGGCTAGAGAGATGGTGTTGTGGTTGAGTGCTTGCTGCTCTTCTAGAGGACCTGAGTTTGGTTCCCACTGTCCATGTCTGGTGATTCACAACCACTTGTAACTCCAGCTCAAAGGAATCTGATGCCCTCGTCTGGTCTCTATGAACAGACACACACACACACACACACACACACACACACACACACACACACACACGGCATACACACAGAAAGACACACCCACATATGCATTAAAAATAAACCTAAGAGGTAGAGCTTAATGGGAGGTCTTTCGTTCTCTCTCTCTCTCTCCCTTCCTCCCTCCCTCCCTCCCTCCCTCCC